AAAAATAAAAAAAAAAAAAAAAAAAAAAAAAAAAAAAAAAAGAAAAAAAAAAAAAAAAAACAACCAAAAAGGTGCTGGTTGTAGGAGGAAGAAAAAAAAAAAAAAAAAAAAAAAAAAAAAAAAATTCTGTGGGGAAGAAAATAAATTTTTTGGGGGGGGGAAAAAAAAAAAGGGAAAAGGGGGGGGCCCCCTTAAAAATAGTGGATTGGCCGGTTCCGAGGGACCAGAAGGACCTCCGCAAGTGGTTGGGTTTTGGCAAATTACTTGCACAAGTATAGCCACAACTATGCGGAAGTGGCTCGGCCATTATCAAATCTCCTGAAAAAGGAGGTGGAATGGTGTTGGAACACCGAGCACCACGAGGCTTTTGAAGCTATTAAGGAGAGTTTCCTTCAGGCACCAATTCGGGCTCTACCTGATCCTGATCTCCCGTTTAGCGTCGTATGTGACGCTTCGGAATTTGCCATTGGTAGTGCACTTTTGCAAGTCGACTATGGTAGAGAACTCGTCATCGCGTTTGAGTCTCGCCAGCTGAAAGCTGCAAAGAAGAACTATCCAGCTCATGACAAGGAGCTACTTGCGATGAAGTATGCCCTTGTTAAGTTCAGGGTACACCTGTTGGGCTCAAAAGCCGTTTGTTATCTATACAGATCATGCATCATTACGCACAGCGACACAGTCACCTCATCTTTCGCAGAGAATGGCTCTTTGGCTCTCCCTTTTCGCGGAGTATAACTTCGAGGTGAAGTATAAGCCGGGAAAACAGAATGTTCTGGCTGACTCGTTATCGTGTAGACCTGAATATGAGCTTGCGCATCTCACGATTGTGAGTCGTCAGTAACGGATCGTATCTGTGGGTCGTATGCACGTGACGAGGCATGTGTTATCATTATGCAGGCGCTGGGTAGAGCAGAGATTGATCACTCTAAGGTAAAGCTTTCACCACGTAATCGTGCGAGATTACATCATTATGCAATGACCAATGGTCGGTTGGACTATAGTACAGAGTCGGATGACCAGTCTCGTGTTGTGGTGCCTCATGATGAGGACCTCAAGTATCAGATACTATATGAGGCTCATGATACACCACTCGCTGATCATTTAGGTCGTGAGAAGACCTTCAGATCGGTGAGACCCAAGTTGTATAAATGCGCTGATACATATGCACGCACGTGTGAAACGTGTCAAAGGGTGAAGCCATCGCCTAGTATGGCTGCGCCTTTGAAGAATTTTCTTGTACCCTCGGGGTTGTGGCAGTCCATTTGTATGGACTCTGTATATGGCCTACCGCGTGATGCGGCAGGCAACACTGGGATTGTGGTCTTTGTTGACCGGCTGAGCAAGATGGCTCACTTAGCGGCAGTGCCGGACTCCATTGATGGAGAAGGAACAGCTACGCTGTCTCAGATTGTGTGTTTAGACAACACGCATTGCCTGTGACAATCGTCCTAGATAGAGACCCCGTTTTACGGGTAAGTTTTCGTCGTCAGCATTTAAAGCGCTGTGCACTCGACTGGACATGTTCACGGCGGATTATCCGCAGACCGATAGTCTAACACAACGCTTAATCGCGTTATTGGCGATATGCTTCGAAGTATTTGTGCTGAAACACCGAAGAAATGATGCTCGATGCTCCCACTCATTGAGTTTGCATTGAACAACGCAGTGCATGCCTCGACAGGCTTCACCCCATTCTATGTGAATGGTTTGATTAACCCTAGCGTTCCTTTAACGCTACCCCTGCCACGTCAGGGATTAGTGGGAGAGAGATAGCCGAAGCTTGGCTGATATCAGCCGTGTTGCGATTCGCAAGAAGGTGGAAGCGTTTCTATCAACGCGTTTTGACGTATTACGTCGCGTCAAAGACTCTATGGCTGAAAGCCAGGATGTTAAAAAGGGAACAAGCAGATGCCAAAGGCAGGAAGAATGAACACTAGTTTAAAGTGAGAGGCATGGTTTTATTAAACGCTAAGAATATCTACTCGGGCAGTGTCTGCGGTATATAAAACCAAACGATGTCCGCTATATTGGACCTTTCAAGGTCATAAGCAAGAAATTTTTAGCCTATACGCTGAACCTTTCGAAGAAGATGAGAACACATCCTGTGTTCTACGTAGGCTTACTTAAGCCATATCTCAACTCTGCCTCAGTGGACTTCGAGGTGTTGTCTCCGAATCACCGGCTGAAGGAGGCGGGTAGTACGGCACCGGAGGTGCATATATACGCTGAAGGCGTACCAAAAGATCATGGATCGATGGGTCACCGACCCCCGCCAACGTTGACTGATGAGCTGGGTCATCAACAGCTTCACGTCGAGCGTCTATTGGCGAGACGTCTTCATCAGGGCCACACCCAGTATTTATTCAAGTGAAGGGGGTACCCTCAGTTGTATGACTCATGGGAGTACGAGGTACCCCAACGGCAAGACTGCCCGGACGTCGCTGAAGCTTTTGATTGGGAAGATCAGAAGCGGCGACAGTGGTCAGCGGAAGATTCCTCGCACTAAGTGATGTGGAAGCAAGGTCAGTAGTTAGGCTTCACTCTGACCTTCTTGGGAAGCAGTTGCTGGTACATCACTCGCGTGAAATGTGCTATTATCTGCTCAGAAGCAAAAATTACGGCGTATATGGCTTTGGCTATATAATACGCAAAGCGTAATCACTTGGGGAGCTCAAAGAGCAAGTGGACATAGCACGCTATGGCTCCATGAGCATGTGCTGGGCACTACGGTGCACTAAACAAAGTGTGAAACACTTAGCTGCTATATAACCACGTGTTAATCATGATGAAGCTTTGTAAGCAAGTTTACGACACTTTGGGGCTTTATATAAGCAAGTGGTAAACAATGTTGTGCTTTATACGCAAAAGTAACACTGTCGGGCTTTATATAAGCAAGTGTGACACACTGTGGAGCTTTATCAGAAGTGTACAACACGTCGGAATAATATAAGCAAGTGTTTTGAGCACTTAAAGGCTTTACAGAAGCAGGTGTTCAACACTAAGGTGCGTTATAAGCAAGTGCTGAACACGAAGGTGCTTTATAATTGAGTGCTGAATACGAAGGTGCTTTAAAAGCAAGTGTTTAGCGAAAATGTGCCTTATAATCAAGTGTTATACACAATGGTGCTTTGTAAGCTAGTGTTCGACACTAATGTGCATTATAAGCTAGTGTTCGGCACTAATGTGCATTATGAGCTAGTGTTAACATTACGGTGCTTTGTGAGCAAGTGTTACACACTTATATGCTCAATCGCTTATAAGCAAGTGTTTAAAACACTAAAATGCTTATAAGCAAGTGCTAGGCACATAATGCTGTAAAAGCAAGTGCTCGTGAGCACAAAAAGGGCAATTATAATACAAGTGCTAGGCACTTAACGCTTATAAGCAAGTGTCGTAACACTATAATGCTTTAGCGTGAGTACAATGTACTGTATGCTTAAGGAGAAAGTGTCGTAACACTAGGGTACTCTAATAGCGTGTGTGCAAAGCACAGGTGCTCAAGGAGCAAGTTTCAGAACATTGACGCTTTGTTTGCAAGTGCAAGCACTTATTGCGAAGCAAGCAAAATTGGAAGAAAATGAAATCGATGCCTCCCATTAAGTGCAAAAAATCGCGGGTACGTCGGGTCCCACTGATTGGTGGGGGAGGGTGTAACGGTGTTACACGAAGGTGTGTATTTTACATACACACCTGCCACTTCAATGTGGTGTGGCTGTACCTTGGGTACAGTGGTAGGTAATGTGACCGTATCTGAAGTACGAAGGGTCGCATCGTGGCAGAGAGCCACGTGGTCACTATACTTAGTTAAGTATAGTGACTATGCATGTTTGCCTAATAATGACAGGCTATAGAGCCATTAAATAGTGACTAGCACCAAGTATAGGGTACGTGCTTCTATATTTAGTGCTTGAAGTCGATCCTTGGATGTATCGGTTTCAAACCTGCTCTATAAGCATCACTGCTTGAGCATTTTATTTCTTTTAAGGAATTAAGTATCTTTGATACTAGTCTCTTTAAGACACGGTTTTAACAACCAATAAGGCACAAGCTTGCGAGCTAGCCTAGGAGGGTTAAACAACCTAAGACGTAGAAGCTCTCTGAGCTTGTCTTCCTCTGCACATAGTGCATACGTAGCTTTGCTGCAGTAGTCTGACTACATCTTCTGCACAAAGGTCATAAGTAGAGTGACTACAGTAGCTCGACTTCAGGCCACATACTAGCTTACCGGGTGAATTATATCCTCTCGAGCCACTCTAAGGTTGACCTCCTTCAAGGCCGACATCTAACCTCCACCAAATCCTTTGAAAAGTGCAACCCTATAGCCACTCCATTACAGTATAATGGCCACGCGGCTCTATGCCACGATGCGACCTTTCGTACCTAAATTACGGTCACATTAAGCGACCACTGTACTCTAGGTAGAGTTACACCGGCAGGTGTGCTTGGAAAAGACAACTTCAGAGCGTCTCTTGGTTAAGTTCTAGTAAGGCATGTCACTATGCAATTCTACAGCAGGCACAGCCTCAAACTTTACGTCAACGTCTTCTGCTTGCCTGGGCAACGCTAGTCAGACTTACTGTTTCCGCTCAAGGTTAAAATCCGCCTTACTATTTTGAGAATTCTACAACCTCGATATTATTCTAAAAAAGGCTATTTGTCATTCCCATCCGATATTACCGGCATAATATGCAGCAAAGTAAAAAAACGGCAAAGGTTGTTGCATTAGAGATTTATGCAGTTAACAGTACTCGAACGAACGCAGCCGTATACGTTATCAAATGTGGATCGTTGCGAAATCTTATATTTTCTGGTGTAGTAAGTCTTGCTCCAACAGTAAGTGTGTTACCGGGATTTCTTTGCAAAAAGCTAAAGAAAACAAAGACCGACATGGGTATTCATTTCAGTGAGATTGCAAATTGTCATCATGTGCCCAACTAAATATAAATTAAAAACTCTTTAGCATGCTCACAAGCTGCCTGCTTCATAAATCGTTCGTCGCGTTACACCACAGCGGTAGCATAATATCGCGCAAATACAAGAGAGGCAAACATCAGTGCGTCAATGCGATCTAGTACACCACCGTGACCAGGAATCAGCTTTCCAGAGTCCTTTACACCAGCTGCACGCTTCAACAGACTCTCGAAGAGATCACCAAGTCGACCTACTATCACGGCTACCACCGCAAATCCAACTTGTGCAGCCGCAGTGCCTGGTACGCTAAGCAGATCGGAGGAGACGAACATCGCAGTAACGCCAAATAGAATGGCACCAAGTGTCCCTTCGTAGTCCTTGTTTTTGGACAAGTGGGGTGCCAGACGATTGTAGTGACTATAGTGCATTCGATCCAGCAAATTTCCCGTTAAATATGCGCCTGTGTCAGAAGCCCATATAACATAAAGTAGCACAATTAGTAGCTTGCGGTAAGAATCGATTCGCTCGTCGTCTACAAAGGCAACGATCACAGAAAGAGTGCCGATGATGTACAGAAAGCCGAGCATGTCTAGCGCAATGTACAAGAATGTGGCGGGTCCTGATGAGCGCGTCTGCAAACGTAAGAAAACGATAATCACCACGCCTGAAAGAAATACTTGTGCTGGCTCCAGAGAGACTCCACAATGGTACCGGTTGATGGGGCAAGCAGCCGATTGCATTGTCAACAGGGTAAACACCGCTTTTTCTACAAGGCAGATGAGCGCATACCTCCAATTTGGCGTGAAGAAGGCACAAAGTGCGGCGACAAAGTCCGTGGCAATACTGTAGAACCATCGCAGCTTGTACAACTGCTTCCCCTCCAGCTCAGGAATATGTTCAACATAGCTTAGGAAAATGGTCGTAGTGACGACGGTGGTGAATGCTGACAGCACTATTGCAGCAATCCACTCATTCTGGCGGAAATGCTTATCAGCTATACTGGACACAACACTTTTTGAAAAGTTCACGCTATACATAAAGTCATCTCCAGCGTTATGGTCATGACTTAGTCGCGGCTCTTGAGGCACATCTTCTTCTAGTTGAGAGGACACATCAGACGCTTGAGACGGTGGCGGAGGGGTCCATGGCGGCGACTGAACTGTCGCGCTGCAGGGCGCACTACGTAGTGCGCCCTGCATTTGCAGTATCAGCTCCTGTAACATTACCGCTTATATCGTTCACTCTGCTGCTTTCGCTTCGTATGCTACGACTGATGATGTCAGAGAGGCGACTGTCTTCATTGTGGCGGCTCAGCGCCGCGCTATTGTTCATTGTAGAGTCAGTGCAAATCAGATGCGGCTCGCAAGCATTCATCTTGGTCATGAAACGCAGGTGAATGCGGTGCTGAAGCCATGCATATTCGTAGGTACAGATACTGGTCACGAATGTGCAGAACGTAGCAGTAGCAAATGCCGGCGAGAGCCACAGAAATACTGTGATAAGCGGTACCAGTACCAGTGCCGACAAAAGACGCTGTACCGCATTCATTTGCAGCCACCGCTTTGCGGCGATGGTGATGTCGCTAGAAGACGCAGGACTGGAGACGTTCGCTTCACTGGGCGAGGGAGGTGCCAGTACAACGATACTAACAGTCGCTGTATGGTAAAAGACGGCAGAGGGAGAGGCTGGAGAGTCTGGCGTCATTGTCATGACAAGGAATCACACTAAGCTGTGGAGTTGGGACAAGTCAGGAGATTAATGTTCTAATTGAATGAGAAAGACGGGTACTTTTTGTTAATGTTAATAAAATTAATAACAAGGTACAAAACAAAATGTACGCATCAAAGCTAGCTCGACAAGCAAAGATGTGTAACGTATGATATCATTTCGACGAGTAGATGACAGCGTGAGAGATCATATCAATAATAGGCTGTCTAAGTCGTTATGTTTTATAGCACTGTCTGTCTTTTACATACTTCTGTGCTTTATTCATTGCAAGATATGCCAGAGTATTTTAGAGCCCTACAATCAAACGTATTGCTTCATGTATGTTTATATGCTTAGCTAAACCGGAATATTTCTATATCACCAATTTACGCTGGTCTCAACGGAGTGAGAATTGACAGAAATCATGTGTTGATTGAACGCAACGTTTCAACATCCAAGTATATACAATTTGCATCCTACGCTTTAGCTGAGGAAACAAATAATTCGCATCATTCGCTTTGGCTGCGACAGACGACCGGTAGCCGTGAAAGCTAGCCACAGTCAAAAAAATGACGAAATCGTTCGTTCCTTAGAAAGTGCTTTCTAAGTAAAGACATTCACACACACCGCGTGATGATACAAGAAGATTACTTAGCAAATGCATGGCCATGCACTTATGTCACGAGACTGTTGTGCGACAAAGTGTGACAGGCTTTATTCTTATTCTCAGGCGACGAATAATAGATAGCAGACTGGTATCAGAAAGTTTTGAAAGAACCACGAAACACCAGAATTTACACATTAAGTGCTCTAGGAGTCGCTCGTGTGTTGTCCAGTGCTACACAAGTCAGCTAACATGATGGGTGACATGCGCATACCGAGCAGAACTTGGTACTACGCTGAGTAGGTAGTAGCAGTGCCGTATCTTAGCAATGATTATAAATCGTATGCATGGCTACAAGAGGACTCGAATCAGCTTATACATCGGTTTAGCAAGCGCACATGAAAAGATCGTAGCCATTCTTTTGCGGTTGCAGGTCCAAAAAAAAGAACCCCGCCGTCAGCTACCGTCAGGTGACATGCGCATGAAAAGTCGTCACTACCTTAAGCTACGCCAAAACTCAACCACAGCAATGCGGCTAAAGTCTACTACACCAATAAATTTGTAGATAGTCGCATGGTGTTATAGTTTAACGCCAACACGAGCAGTTTTGGATGAAAATGAGGTGTTGCAAGAAAGCTAACGTTATTTCATGCGGAACTATAGAAAATAATCGAGTCAGGTAAAAACGTTTCTCAGATAAGTGAGGGTAGGTTTTGCTGTGGCGCCTTTTCATTAGCAGAAACAGCTGCTATCTTTTTGGTCGAGCCGATTGGCTATAAGTATTTCTGGGGATCCGGGACAACCCTTCACTTTGCATTTTGCGGCTTAAAGAAAGAGCGGTCTATAGTCGTTATCGTTGGAAGCAAGTTTCAGATCCGATTCACGCCATGACCTCGATACTAAACACATTGATGGGCGTTTACGCGTCAATATTTTGCATGAAAGAGTACTGTAGCTCTTCACAGATGTCGGCAAAAGTCCATGCGCCCCTTGCATGGGCGCCGGCACCGCGCAAGAAAAAGTCTGTCAAGCTGTCGATCAATGACCGACTGCGTCTGCTGATTGGTGACATGATTAGCGAAGAGGATCTGGGAAAGCGCGTAAGAAATACGACAGCAGTATAATAGCTACGGATTGTATTGTTGGAGAAGTATACTGACGATGTGGTCTCTGACGTGCTTTTTTGTGGCTGTAGCTGGCATTTGGACGCGTTCTGGGCACTGGAGCTACATCCAAGGTTTACGAGGCCCTAGACACGGCCACTGGTGATCGCGTGTCGGTAAAAGTGTTTGACAAGGCAACGTTGGTCGAGGCACGTCGCTCCATGGTTGCTGACGGCCACTTTGTGCCGGAGAAAGCCGTGCATCGTGTGCGTCGTCGACTTCTGAAGCTTGTATCCGAACTTGAAATTTCCAAGTTGCTGAACCATCCTAATATTGTCAAGTACCTGGGAGCTTTTGAGACGTCTCACCGAATTTGCATCGTGTATGAGCTTGTTGAGGGCTCGGATTTGCTTGAACGTCTGCTGGAGAATGGAAGGATGCCCCAGCATCAGGTAGCCGTTGTCCTTCGTCAGCTATTATCGGCGGTGGAATACTGTCATGCTCGCAATATTTTTCACCGTGACTTAAAGCTGGAAAATGTGATGATTACTAAAGATCTGGAAGTGAAGCTTATTGATTTTGGATTGTCTGAATGTATGGCATGCGCCGAGCGGCCGCTGAAAACGGTATGTGGTACGCCTTTGTATTGCAGCCCAGAGATTCTTTTTCTACACAGTTCTGCTGAAAGTTGCCGTAAAGGCTTTTATGGAGCACCTGCCGATGTGTGGAGCGTAGGTGTTCTAATCTTTGCACTCCTTACAGGATGTGCACCTTTCGATGACTCGGATTTTCACACACTACGTATAGATGTATTACGGAACCACATCAATTATCCTGCGTACATTTCAGATCAAGTGAAAGAGGTACTTAAGAGTGTGCTTGTAATTGAGGCGACGATGAGACCTACTGTTAAAGAGTTGCTGTCTCATGGCTGGCTTCAGGACTCGGCAGAATACAATCTGATAGCCAACAATGAGGTGGAGCTGACTAACGCCGAAGCGAAAGACAACTGGTCGTACGCTACACGCAATGACAATGTCGAGATCAGCTGTCGCTCACTTCTTTGTCGCACTAGCGGTTCGGATTGTACGTACAGCTCGGACCCAAGCCTCGAAGGCGCAAGTAAACGCCGATCATCAACAACAACAAACGTTCTAAACGTGGAAAACGATGCTTGTGAGGGCATACATTTTTTCAATAGTGACTCACTGGGGCATTTTAATAAATTATCGTATAGATAAGTCACTACAGCTGGCACCTTATCATTAATGTATTTACGTAAGCTTGAAAAACTGCAATTACTTGCTACTCTTCATCATGCTCCTGTTAAGCCGAAAACGATGAGGTTGCGGCCGTTGAGGACTTCAACCCAGCTTGAGCTTGTTTTGCCTTCAAGCAAAGCTCCTCAGCACGACGGCGCGCATTTTCCGCTTTCTTGGCTGCTGCCTCTTTTCTCTGGTGCGCTAGCTCCTTGTCTTTTTTTATTTCATCCAACTTGCGCTGCATTTCGTATCGGCGTTGAACCTCTTCTTGACTGAGCTGAGTCTCGATCTGTCGACGCGAGTTCGCCCGCATTTTGGACGCCGCCTGGAAGACATGGCGCCGCATTGCCTCTGCCTTCTCCCGGGCATTACGCGCCTTCTGCTCTGCCTCCGTGCGTTTGCGCATTGCCTCCTCCTTGCGCTTTTGTACCGCACGCATTTCCACTTCGTGCGCTTCACGAAGCTTCAGAGACTGTGATTCGGCCTGTTTTGCAAGACGCTCACTGTTTTTTTGCTCATAAAGCCACGTGGCTTCGCGGGCCTTTTCCTTCATCTGTTGTGCAAGCGTCTTGCTATCAATTACTGTCTGCATGGCGGCGCGCTTTCGCTCTTCTGCAATAATTTTAGCATGTTGCAGCGCTTCCGACGATGTCTGATACTTCTGTGAGCTCTGAGTGGTTTCAGACTCATAGTCCTCCAGCGCTCGCTCGCGCGCGTTGTATTCAACCAGCGAGGCCTTACACACGGCGTCAAGCAGCTTCTGATCTGCTTCCTCTTCAGCCTTCTCACGCTTACGACGTGCTTCCCACATAGTGTCCACCGCGGTGTCCACGCTGCTTCTGATCGCATTGATTACATTTGTCGTGCTCTCATTGGCATCAGTGGCCCCTTGGGCAGCTGCAGCCACCGACGCATTGTCAGCAACTGCAGCGCCACTGTACGTCAAAGACATCGTGTCGTAGCTCGCAGCCCTAATGCTATTGGTGGAGCGGTCTGTGGACTGCACAGGTTGCACCCTTTCGTTGTTCAATGAATAATCAATGGCGCTTGAGTTACCCATTCGCTCCTGTTGTTGCGGCAGATTGCGCCATGCTTGTGGTCGCGAGTAGTCAAAGTCACGTGAAGAAGACATCGTAGCGCGTTCTACGGACGGGTCTCCCGTAATGCAAAAGTTTTGCAGAGACTTTTAGGACTACTTCTGATGGAAAACTGTTTTCGTTAGGGTAAAAAGAAATGGTAATGTGGTTCGAGTGTGATAAGAAGCTCATTGTAAACAATCAAACTGTGTATCGGTATTTACGGCAAAAGTTACTGGTAATAATACTGTCGCACATCAAAGTGTAAACCAGTTAATAAAAACATCATGGGGAAAACGTCCAAAGACAAGCGAGTGCGTCGACTTCTACTATTTCTCTTTCTCGTACACCAATTCACTTCTATATTTATTTTACTCTTGTATATCACACACAGGACATTTACTATCGCAAGGCCAAACAGCAGGGATATCGCGCACGCTCGGCTTTCAAGCTGCTGCAGCTAGATGACAAGTTCCAGCTACTACGTGGTGCCTCGCGCATCGTAGACTTGTGTGCGGCTCCTGGTGGCTGGAGTCAAGTGATCGCTGAGCGAGTGCTTGACGAAAGTCAAATCGTCGCCGTAGATCTCATGGAAATGGCGCATCTGGACGGTGTTGTGCAGCTGCAGGGAGACATCACTCACAGGGATACAGCCGACAAAATTGTGGCACAATTCTATGGCCAGAAGGCGCAGGTCGTCGTGAGCGACGGTGCTCCTGATGTCCTTGGCCTGCACGATTTGGATGAGTATCTTCAGGCGCAGCTCGTGCTTGCTGGACTTAATATTAGCCTACAGATTTTAGAAAACGGTGGTACTTTTGTAGCCAAGCTTTTCCGAGGCAAGGAAGTGTCGTTGTTATATGCCCAGCTGCGCCGGTTTTTTTAGTCAGGTGACGTGTGCTAAGCCAAAATCTAGTCGCAACTCCAGCTTTGAGTCGTTCGTCATTTGTCAGAATTTTAACCTGCCAAAGGATTTTGTGCCAGACATGGAGCGGAACTTGCTGGACTTGAGGTACAGTGAAGATGTTCAAAATGAAGACAATGACCATTGGCACAGGAGTGAAGTATTGGTGGAACGCGGTGTCTATGCCGACGCAGTTTTTGTGGGAGCTGGCGATGTGTTTGGCTACGATGCCGACCAATCGTACCCATTAGATGAAGTTACAGGAAATACTACGACACGGGCAAAGTATGCCCACCAGGAACCACTGCAAAAGCCCATCAACCCACCATATGCCAATGCCCTCAAGCGACAACAGAATAATCAACCGAGTAAAAGCTATTGATTACTGTTGCGATAGAGACTCAATTATGCTTTTGTTAGCCATGGCGCTTACTTGCAGCGGTCTCCTCAGTTGCTGAGCTGCATTTTCTTTCTCTTCTTCTTGGAATCTTCCACTGCACAAAGACAAAGGAAGTTAACAATCAACAAAGATCAAGTCACCGTAAAAGGTCAAAACTATTGATTAAGCATATACCTCGTGGATTCTCGCTTGTGTAAAATTTTTTGAGTAGCGTGATAGCCTCGTCTTTGAGAATACCCGAAACGCAGGAAAAGCCTCGATGTACATTGCTGTTTGGAAGTGCGCTGTGCAGGCGACAAAAAGTGTGTCACAGCGTAATACGTGCGTTGGCTTCCACAACACCGGTGTCGGCGATCATTGCTTGCGAACTCACCTGCGCTCGTACAAGTTCAAGACGGAGCTACAGCCTCCAAAGCGATCGTTGTGACAGCCATAGTACACACGCTTGATAAAGACATGTGCAAGTGCTCCAGCACACATGATGCATGGTTCACATGTAACATACAACGAACACTCAGCCAGTACTTCGTTTGCGTTGTTGCCATACGCGGTAGCGATACATTCAATCGCAACGATCTCGGCATGCATTGTAGCCTACAGTTTAATACACAATACTTCCGTCTAGTAATCGATAGCGGTCGAATAAATGTATTCATTATACGTACATTGCAACGCTCATTAACGCGGTTTGATGCGCGTGCGATGATCTCGCCTTTGTACACGAACACGCACCCGACGGGCACTTCCTCCCGAACCAAGGCCTTCTTGCCCTATTTCATCCGATACAAAATTACTTTAATAAGTAGTTGTAGTAATGATATACTAAAAGATGACTGGTTAAGCTTAATACCTCCTGTAGAGCTTCTCGCATGAAGTGGTCATGCTTATTGTCGCTTATCATATTAAACATGGGTTACGACTGAGTTACGAAAATAGAACTTCATTTCGTAACCTATTGGATAGATTACATACACATTACGATATGAGGCACTCGTTGCTGCAGAATCTAAAGATTAGGGCACGGCCAAATACGCAATTAACTCGGCGCTGGATCAACTATGGCCATGATATGCACAAGGTGGGTAGCTAGATACTAAGGATATGGTGGCAATCTAATGTTTGGCATTGGGATTCTATAAATTTGTTATCAGGAAATGCTCAATGGAACGGCAAAAGTCTCCGTGACCGAGTACGATGAAGGAGGTTTTGTCGTCAATGATATCGTACGTTGTTATAAATCTGCTGTCATCCCGTTTTGATTGCATCTGGGGTGGCTGACTCACTGTCAAATTTTAATACTAGAACATGCGCGGAGGAGTAGCGCTGTTCTCCGAAGTTGCCATGGTAAAGAGACACAAATAAGCGACAGAATTCATAGAATTATATAATGGTGGTTTTGATTTTGTGTTGTACATATTTTGGGGTGACAGCTTTGGAAGCCAAAGAGGATAAACGAGATCACGCGCGAGCATTTGACTGTCTTTACAGTTTCGAATCCACCAATCGGTATATTACAAAACCTTGTGTGAATGAACTACAAATGACTGAACGTGCTATTGCAGAAATTCTAGTACTTGGCTGCGGTAAGCGTATCAACCATGGATTGGCACCGGAGCTCAAAGAAATGCTGAAGGTGAATGGCATTGTGGTGGAGTATCTGGACAATGTTAATGCATGTGCCACCTTCAATATTCTGAATGCTGAGGACCGCAGAGTAGCTGCTGCACTGCTCCCTTGTGAATCAGACCTTCCAACCTACTTTGAACAGATAAAATAAAGTTGCGCTACGAAGAGTAGTGTTTGAATCAACTAAGTCATTTTCCTTACAGTACTAATGCCCTCTTCCACGAAATTATCGTCGAAATCGGTTCCTGCAGGTAGGACACTTGTAGCGGACTTTTCTGTTCTCATACTTATCAATGCATCCGCTGTGGGCTATAATGTCACAATTTTTGTCCTGACATTTCGCCCCCTGGAGTAACTCGTACTGGCAAATCGGGCATTTCTTCACTTGCAAGTCACGGAGGAACGCAACAAGCTCCAAGTACGCACGGGGACCAAGCGTAAAGCTGCGTGTTGGCAGTTGCGCACCACTGGAAGCAAGCCACTTCTCGGCTGTTAGTTTGCGGAGTAGTTCCTCAACTTCGTTTAAGGTTATAGGACTTATGCGTAGGTTGTATAATCTCGACTCCTCCAAAGCACCTTTCTCTCTAAATTACAAATGGAATTTACAAATTTTGTTAGGAAAAAATACATGAAAATTACTGCAAAGACTGCTTCGTTACGTGTCCACGATTTCCTCCATCGCCTTACGAAGAAATACGATTTCCCATGGTTTGTAGTTACTGCCAAACGCTGCCAATGAGTCATTACCCTTTCATAGCAGATAATGTTTGTGGATAGAGACACATATAAGAAACAGTACGAAATAAGCTAATATGTCGTACCCATACCGTATTGACGACAGCCAGGTACATTTTTCCGTCATCGAACATCCCTCGACGCACGTCGAGAGCAAATGGCCGTATACTATCTGCTATACTATTCACCAGTTGATTTACATCGGACAAAGTCATTTCTTTGCACATTAAACAATATCTATAGTTAGCAATTGATGCAAATTCTGTTGCTTGCGTGACAAATTCAAATAACTGACCTTCGCCCGTAAGTTTCCTAGCTAGACGCTGCACCTTCTCTTCTTCCATCACTCCTGCTGCCTGCACACAAATCATAAATTAGCTTAAACTGTATGGAAAGCCAGATATTTGCATGAGAACGAGCCGTCTTAGTGACCATAATGCGCTGCAGCAGCATGCAATCCGAGTCGTTCATGTGAAAAATTTACCCATTTCACCCTCTTTCCTGTCGGGAATAATGTTTTGGTGTGATACATAATTTTATGTAGTTCGACAGGATTCAATGCAATGGATTCCAAAGCGAAAGTTAAATATCTAAGCGGTTTTGAATTTTTGCAATTTCTTTCCTTTATTCTATTTGACAGTGGCTTACTTTGGTTTTTACTCTTTAAATGCTTTTCCATGGGTCATAAAATGATGCCGGCCAAGTCTCCTGCTATCTCTACAAGCTTTAGATTTGACTTTGCTGATACAGCTCCTCTTTTTTACATTAAATATAGTACAGAAGCTGCAGCGCAGGCTCTAAAGAGGTAAATAGCGGTACAGCATACTGCCAAGAGGTGGTATGACTGTAACGTTTGTCATACCTACTGCAACAATGCTCCAACCAAGCAAAGAAAATAACATCAATACCGCTTCTTGTGTGGCAAACAAATCGGGGCGAGCAGAAATGTGCCGGATGGTGGCTAACGCTGCTACCATTTACGTCGTCGCAGATATAAACGTAATTACGCGAGTATGGAGCAGCGAACTGTGTCAACGACTGTATTGTGCGCATATTACAATAATGGGGTGAGCTGTGACGTTGCAAATGAAGAATGACGGTGGTGTGCTTCAACTGCTACATATCTCAGACTGTTATCTTCGTAGACACTCGTCAGTGTTAACTCGAAGGAAGTCTCAAAGTTTGACGAATAAGTATTTTCAAGTTGACAAGGCGCAAGCTACATTAAATACATAGTGCTGGTGCTGTCAAAGTATTGACTGGGCTTTTTAATTTATCTGGTATAGTGGCTGGTCTCACCAACTCAAATAGTCCTCGGTCAACTAGCTTGTACTGCTGTTGGCTTATGATACACAACCCGGTAACCTTCAAAGCCACTAATTGGCCTTTGTATACGTCTATCAAGGCTTTTCCAGCCACCACAAAAGACAACGAGCAAGACGGCTCCATCCGTGCATGTATCCCTCGCTACTGCAACAAGCTTTGCCATCTCTTCGATTTGACCTTAAAACCAATTTGCCACCAATAGTAAAGCTTTATCTTCTCTCTCACCAATCACATCGTTAGTCGCTTTGGTGAGCTGCTCGCATCCAAGCCACCAAGCAGTGCTCTCAATCATGGACCCACCGCCTCGAAGGGAGCATTTGCCCAGCGCCAACGTTGCACTTTTTGCTTTCCAAACTGCAATCGGCATTAGTGTCTTCTTGCTCGCTCCCGACGTCTCTTGGTTACCTTTACACAGTGCTCACGCAGGCTCCGGAGCTAGTGATAGCAGCGGGTCTGTAGCTTTGGCATCTTCTACAATCCCTACAGCTTCAACGTTGATGCCAACCAATCCACTTTCCCCTCCAGTCTATGTATTTTACATTTGGATACCCATTTACGTCTTCTCAGGCATCACCGTCATCACCGACCGCTTCTACCCAAACTACAGCTTCTACTTGACGTCGGACGACCCTAGCTTCCTTCGTCAATGGTTCCAACTCTCGTGCTTGGCCAATATATCTTGGGTTGTACTTGACAAGTGGTTCATCTGGGTGCATATGGCAACATTTGCGCTTGGGGTGCTCTGGTGCACTATTTTACCTCTTTATCTTTTTGTAGTGCGTCATCCCACACGAAGATACTCGCAAACTTGGGTCTACTACTTATGCAGTGAATTCTCCGTGCGACTTTACTTTGGATGGGTCAGTGCTGGATTTGTATTTGGCATCGCAGACGTGATGCAGTATATGCACGCAGCTTATTTCGGATTTAGTGTCTACGCTGTTTTATTGGGGGCTCTACTCGTATTAGCGTTCAGCACTTATGTCCACGGTAGAGACCCTGTGGTGGGTCTAGTTGTCATGTGGGCTCTGATAGGCTTTATATCCAGACACTCAACGTTTTCAGGAGATACAGAGGAGGTTTTCGAGAAGCTGCAGGCTGTTGCTATCGTCTTCGCACCTGTGTTTACAGTACTTTTGTTCATCGACAGCGTCCAATATGTCTATACCGTCCATTGTAAAGCGTAAGTTGGATTGGAATTGAAGGCATATATGGTTGATGTGATGCTGCTGGACTAATTTTTGGACTTATATTGTCTATGGCTGTGCTTTAGAAGTATAAGGGTGCCGAGTAGCAGTAATGAATCCTACAAATCATTTGTGTTCGAGACCACAGCCGAGTATGGGACGGTGTAAACTAGCCAAGCAATTTAGTCTGTACATCGACCAGCTGATCTTATATTGCTTTTTTCGATTTCCTTTTGATGAGACATCGCAACTCGTTGCACAATCTATTTGATTTATCGGATTACATGCATTCCATTGAACGGCCGATAGATGCTGGTTCGTGTTTGCAAATATAGATACGTAGCCTCAAGACATGCAGTTCTAAGCCATTTAAGATTGCCAATATTTGTAGCAATATGACGCAAGATTTAAGATCGATAACAGTATCGTATGAAACTAAGTAAACAAGCACGAGGAAAGCCTCCTCATTACAATTGAGATCTACCTTACTAACAAAGTCGTTCATTTAAGCTGTGGTAGAGCATTGTCACAGTTGACTCATCTCATGAGTGTGGTATTATTACTTTGTTTGGCTCTTAAAGCTTCACCAACTTTTACAGTAGACCAGACATCGTTTTGTTTACTATGGAAGTGGCCTACTCATACAATGGTGTTGTACTCGTTTGCTACCATTGTAATAATTAATTGTGTTTATAGTTGAAAGACAAAAAAAGCATTTTTGTAATTACTTTCTACCTTTTCCCTATCAGCGTATGCACTATATCAAAATAATTCGCAATACTTCCAACTCCATAGAATCATCACCTTGTTAAAATGATGCTACATCGCTGCGCAAAACTGCGTCACTTTAGTGCTGTTTTAAGAAGCTTTTCATCAATCCCAAATAGTGTTGCTTCTTTCTCAGACATTGATTCTATTCCAGAAACTGTAGTGCAGGCTCTGGACAAATACATAGTAGGCCAGAAGGATGCCAAGAAGGCGGTAGCTGTGGCACTGCGCACTCGTTGGCGCCGTCGTCAGCTGAAGAATGATGCGCTACGAAACGAAATCTTGCCCATGAATATTCTTATGAGTGGTCCAACAGGTTCTGGCAAGACGGAGATTGCGCGGCGTTTAGCCAAGATCTCGGGCTCGCCGTTCCTCAAAGTGGAGGCCACTAAATTTACCGAAGTAGGCATCTATGGCGCCAACGTGGACTCCATGATTAAGGACCTTGTGGATGTAGCTGTCAACATGGAGAGACTTGAGGCGCAGAAGATCTACGCTGCAGCAGCTCGCGAACGCGCTATAGATCGGCTTGTCGACTTGCTGGACCACACAACGCTCAGCGGCATTTCGCGGGCGGAACTCCGCGAGGAAATCGCTGCCGGGAAAGTAGCCGACCACAAAGTTCGTATGCAAGTCAAACCACTATCAAGCAAAACGAGGCCACCATTAGCAAACTCGGATATGATGATGGAGATGCCTCCTGAGCTGGAGAATATGATAAAGCATCTCGACACACTCATGGCGTCGCGTTTTAGTGGCGCTAGTGGGAAGAGCGATGACAAGGCACAGAGCATGACGGTGAAGGAAGCTTTGCCTTGTCTCGAAGCTGAGGAGGCGGACGCCATCATAAATGACGACGATGTGATTAAAAGAGCATTGGAGAATGTGCAGCACAACGGTATTGTGTTTCTCGATGAAATTGACAAGTTGGCCAGTGCTGGCGATCAGAATCGTACAGGAGGAAATGGTGGAAGCTATCGCAAGGGCGAAGGAGTACAGAAGGAGCTTCTAGCTTTGACCGAAGGTTGCGCTATTAGCACTCGCTATGGACTTGTATATACTGATCACATCCTGTTTATTGCAAGTGGTGCATTTTCCCGCTCAAAGCCGTCAGATTTGATGCCTGAACTGCAAGGCCGTTTGCCTATTCGTGTAGCCCTTTCGTCCTTAGGTGCTGCCGAGTTTGAGAAGATCCTTAGAGACACGGACCACAACTTATTGGAACAAACTAGTGCCTTGATGGAGACAGAGGGCGTCAAGCTCACATTTGCGGACGACGCTATCAGTGAGATGGCGACTATTGCCGAGAAAGTAAACGCGCAGACTGATAACATCGGTGCTCGACGCTTGGTGACTATCATCAGCAAGATCACGGAAGAAGTTTCTTTCCACGCTCCCAAGATGAACGGCATGACTTTTGAAATCGACAAAAAGTATGTGCTGCAGCGCCTTTCTGGTGTGCTTGAGCACACGGATCTTTCTAAGTTTATTCTTTAGCAAACTGCTAGCATTTTAGGACAAATTAATTGGTTTTGTGGCGTAGTCACAGACACGTTTAATGCAGTACAAGTGTAAAGCATCTCCTATACACGTGTCGTTGTGTATCACGAAGCACTTTGACACTTATCATTACTATCTAGCGTTCTCGACAGTAGAACTACTCCAAACTTCTGAGTGTAATGAGGGTGTTCGGAGTTACCCTGTCGTCCACAATGCGCTCGACGACGTTCAGCAGTAGAGTATACACCCGATAAGATAAAGCTTGCGTTTCTGTTTGCCGATTTTCACGGTTTAATGTCGATGGCGCCTCGTACGAATGTCAAAGATCTGTTATTGAAGCATATCCAGAGCTGCCAGTGTGCTAACATAGACCACATCAAATGCTTAGAGCCTAACTCTGTCTGACAAGTTTTGGCCACTTCAGTAATTAATTGAAACTTCGTTTTTGTACTGCACACCAACACGCAAGTGGTTATCTGACTCTATTGCTAGTTGTGTTGAAATATCCAGACGAGTTCAGCTTTCGCTTCAGATTTTATCATCATCATCTCTTGGACCAGACCATTGAGTACTACTAGCATCAGCGTATTAGCAGGCAGAAGAAGCAAACGATGGATCTGCGCACAGCGCCAAACGCTGTTGATGACGATTACGATGAAGGTCAGTTGAATATTTATGGTGTAGTAGCATTTGATGCTTCTTAATACTTAGGGAAATTGCTCTATGGTGACTTGCTTGTTTTTTTTCCCTCTTATTTCGTTGCAGAGCCGCCGGTACCTATCCAGACTGAGACTATAGATGTGTATCTGCTGAGGCCAGAAGAGTCACGCGAAATTGAAATCAAGGATTTTACTATCATGAAGCCTAATAAAAGCAAGATGCATCGCCTTATCCGCTTCTATCCTCATTGTGATATTACGTACCGAGCCACGTTGTCCGCCGACGAAACTACGGTGATGTCCCTTAGCGGCACCGTGGCGAACACGATACTGCCAGAAAATCATCCTCGTCAAAACGGTGGCTTTAGCAATCCCAGTCGCAACGCAGAAATTTTCAGACTCAAGAGCGACTTGCTTCAAGAATACTTTGCCTCGGTGCAAGATGATGATCGAGAAGCTGCTATGTTTGACGCGCTCATTGGCCGGTGCGCCCACCCTGCTCAGCACCCCAGTTCTGTATTTAGTGCTGGGTTCAGTGATCAACCAGAGAAGAATGACACGGCTCTTGCATTTTTACGTGAGCGACGGTCGCTGCCCAAGTTCAAGCGTGTGGAAATGGAAGAAGATTGCATCCCATTGGCAGGTTATGAACCAGGATGTTTAACGCCCGATGAGCGTCTGAAGTACGTGTCGTCACTCTGGCCAAGCCTAGCACCTGTCGACGATGACGAAGATATTATGTATTATTACGGAATTGAAGTGCAGATCGTTTCAGAGAAAGAAAGAGAGAAGGATCTAGCTGTGGAGAACGAGCTGGAAGAGAAAAGCGATATGCAAAAGGAAGGCAAATTATCTCTGGTAGCAGCCACTTCAGTGACGGGGATGGCTTTGATAGATATAGCATCATCGACCAAAGCAGAAGGTAAGGTCAGTAGCTCGGAGACAGCACCAACTTGTTCTCCTGAGAAATCTACAAAATCGCGAAGTGCAGCGTTTCAGAAGCTAGAAGAGGCGGCAGTAGAAGATGACGATGAGATTAAGCCGAATCCTATCGCCACAAAGCAGGATGACTGGGTACAGTGCGACAAGTGTCAAAAGTGGCGCAGACTACCGAGTAAGTTCTAGTCACCAAATACGGGCATGTATTTTGACAATCGGCTCATTGTAGATCGTGATATTGCCCGCAGACCAAGTTAACGTGTCGGAGCTGCCAGCTATTTGGTACTGCAAAATGAACCGTTGGGACAAGCATCACAATGTGAGTTGCGATCTTATGTGAAAAAACAGCTATTTCGTTGCAAAGCTGACGGTCTCTGGCTGTAATTTTCTAGAAATGCGCGGCACAAGAAGAGAAGCTTGTTGTGTATATGAAAGGAGCAGATTTGGCGGAATACCGTCAGCGAAAGTTTGTTCAGGACTTTGTTCAGCGCTGCAAGCGTCTAGATAAATTGACGCACCACTACATGTACACACATTTTCACGATGATGATGGAGAGCGAAAATTTGTGCAGTGCATGGAATGCCTCAAGCTACGTCCACTGATTGGTGGCATGGACCCAAACAAGGTAGCTGAACCTTTCGTTTGCTGGATGAACTGGGACGAGCTTTTGGCGAGTTGCTCGGCACCCGAAGGGTTGCTTTATCCCCGGACGAATCCAGAACGGTATAACTCAGCAGCGCGATGTGAAAGCAGTGTCTTGTATGTCTTACCTGACGTTGCTGAGGACGATGCTGTTAGAAGGAAGGGGTTTCATACCGTAAGTGACCCAGCTACGTTCGGAGACGGTCGTGCATGCAACAAATCAGGTAGAAAAGGAAAGCGCAAGAATGGTTTTGGGACTACTGAGAACGGTGCGAGTGCCGGTAAAGCAGGAATGGGAAAGAAGACAAAACGAAGAACTTTAGCACAATAGGCAAGAGGAATCAGATCAAGTGTAGAAAACCATCATCACGATCATGATCGTTTCGGTTTTAAAAAAATGTTCATCACTTTCAAGACCTTCCGTGGCCACAACATTAAGCTTTAATTACACTAATTTAACTTGTAATGAAATCCATTTTTGTTGCTCAGCAAAATGCAATACCTTCTGCAATACTTTTGTCAGCAGACACCTTCCAGCGAGCTCAACTGTGCACAACTCGTCTAGAGCATCAGATGACAAGATGGTTAAAACACGGTAGCTTTTGCTATTTACTAGCAGTGGTGGGTCTTAAAATCGGCTACAGATACATCACTGCAAACGAGGCGCAATTGCAAAGTGTATTGCAAGACAAATCAAAGCACGAGACACGTTGAAGCCACAAACTAAAAAATTGAATGATAGCAGGTCTTCTCCACCAACGAGTGATTTTATTAAATTTGCTTGAGTCGCTTTTTGGTCATTGGAGCAACTTTAGTATGATCTTCATCTGATTCTGACAAACGTCGAGTAAAACAGTAAGCACGCTGAGCTATTTCTATACCTGTTAAAAAATTTGCCTCTTGAAAAAACAATAATCCTCGTGACAATCCTCTTAATAATGATCTATGAGAAAGATTCCAAGCAGCATTTCAACCTATAACCTTCTATAGACACCAACGACTTCGTATATGGGCGCACAAACGCGACTTCAATACATACAATTGGCACAGCTTCAACGGAAGCGACGTATACAGAGACTAGATTTACAGCCAGCTCCGAGTAGTACCTCGTGCGGACACCGACGGGTCCGTGTCTTGTCTGTATCGGGCGCATGAGTGCTACCAAGTTTTTAAAGACAATTATTGAGTGAATACCTATAGCCGAGCTGCTGTAGTCACTCTACTTATGACCTTTGTGCAGAAGATGTAGTCAGACTACTGTAGCAAAGCTACGTATGCACTATGTGCAGAGGAAGACAAGCTCAGAGAGCTTCTACGTCTTAGGTTGTTTAACTCTCCTAGGCTAGCTCGCAAGCTTGTGCCTATTGGTTGTTACAACCGTGTCTTAAAGAGACTAGTATCTAAGATACAGATTCCTTAAAAGGAATAAAATGCTCAAGCAGTGATGCTTATAGAGCAGGTTTGAAACCGATACATCCAAGGATCGACTTCAAGCACTAAATATAGAAGCACGTACCCTATACTTGGTGCTAGTCACTATTTACTGGCTCTATAGCCTGTCATTATTAGGCAAACATGCATAGTCACTATACTTAACTAAGTATAGTGACCACGTGGCTCTCTGCCACGATGCGACCCTTCGTACTTCAGATACGGTCACATTACCTACCACTGTACCCAAGGTACAGCCACACCACATTGAAGTGGCAGGTGTGTATGTAAAATACACACCTTCGTGTAACACCGTTACACCCTCCCCCCACCAATCAGTGGGACCCGACGTACCCGCGATTTTTTGCACTTAATGGGAGGCATCGATTTCATTTTCTTCCAATTTTGCTTGCTTCGCAATAAGTGCTTGCACTTGCAAACAAAGCGTCAATGTTCTGAAACTTGCTCCTTGAGCACCTGTGCTTTGCACACACGCTATTAGAGTACCCTAGTGTTACGACACTTTCTCCTTAAGCATACAGTGCATTGCACTCACGCTAAAGCATTATAGTGTTACGACACTTGCTTATAAGCGTTAAGTGCCTAGCACTTGTATTATAATTGCCCTTTTTGTGCTCACGAGCACTTGCTTTTACAGCATTATGTGCCTAGCACTTGCTTATAAGCATTTTAGTGTTTTAAACACTTGCTTATAAGCGATTGAGCATATAAGTGTGTAACACTTGCTCACAAAGCACCGTAATGTTAACACTAGCTCATAATGCACATTAGTGCCGAACACTAGCTTATAATGCACATTAGTGTCGAACACTAGCTTACAAAGCACCATTGTGTATAACACTTGATTATAAGGCACATTTTCGCTAAACACTTGCTTTTAAAGCACCTTCGTGTTCAGCACTCACTTATAAAGCACCTTCGTGTTCAGCACTTGCTTATAACGCACCTTAGTGTTGAACACCTGCTTCTGTAAAGCCTTTAAGTGCTCAAAACACTTGCGTATATTATTCCAACGTGTTGTACACTTCTGATAAAGTTCCACAGTGTTTCACACTTGCTTATATATAGCCCGACAGTGTTACTTTTGCGTATAAAGCACAACATTGTTTACCACTTGCTTATATAAAGCCCCAAAGTGTCGTAAACTTGCTTACAAAGCTTCATCATGATTAACACGTGCTTATATAGCAGCTAAGTGTTTCACACTTTGTTTAGTGCACCGTAGTGCCCAGCACATGCTCATGGAGCCATAGCGTGCTATTTCCACTTGCCCTTTGAGCTCCCCAAGTGATTACGCTTTGCGTATTATATAGCCAAAGCCATATACGCCGTAATTTTTGCTTCTGAGCAGATAATAGCACATTTCACGCGAGTGATGTACCAGCAACTGCTTCCCAAGAAGGTCAGAGTGAAGCCTAACTACTGACCTTGCTTCCGCATCACTTAGTGCGAGGAAGCTTCCGCCGACCACTGTCGCCGCTTCTGATCTTCCCAATCAAAAGCTTCAGCGACGTCCGGGCAGTCTTGCCGTTGGGGTACCTCGTACTCCCATGAGTCATACAACTGAGGGTACCCCCTTCACTTGAATAGATACTAGGTGTGGCCCTGATGAAGACGTCTCGCCAATAGACGCTCGACGTGAAGCTGTTGATGACCCAGCTCATCAGTCAACGTTGGCGGGGGTCGGTGACCCATCGATCCATGATCTTTTGGTACGCCTTCAGCGTATATATGCACCTCCGGTGCCGTACTACCCGCCTCCTTCAGCCGGTGATTCGGAGACAACCCCTCGAAGTCCACTGAGGCAGAGTTGAGATATGGCTTAAGTAAGCCTACGTAGAACACAGGATGTGTTCTTATCTTCTTCGAAAGGTTCAGCGTATAGGCTAAAAATTTCTTGCTTATGACCTTAAAAGGTCCAATATAGCGGACATCGTTTGGTTTTATATACCGCAGACACTGCCCGAGTAGATATTCTTAGCGTTTAATAAAACCATGCCTCTCACTTTAAACTAGTGTTCATTCTTCCTGCCTTTGGCATCTGCTTGTTCCCTTTTTAACATCCTGGCTTTCAGCCGTAGCGTCTTTGACGCGACGTAATACGTCAAAACGCGTTGAAAGAAACGCTTTCACCTTCTTGCGAATCGCAACACGGCTGATATCAGCCAAGCTTCGGCTATTTCTCCGCCACTAAGCCCTGATGTGGCAGGGGTAGCGTTAAAGGAACGCTAGGGTTAATTGAACCATTCACATAGAATGGGGTGAAGCCTGTCGAGGCATGCACTGCGTTGTTCAACGCAAACTCAATGAGTGGGAGCATCGAGCATCATTGCTTAGGTGTTTCAGCACAAATACTTGAAGCATATCGCCAATAACGCGATTAAGCGTTGTGTTTGACTATCGGTCTGCGGATAATCCGCCGTGAACATGTCCAGTCGAGTGCACAGCGCTTTAAATGCTGACGACGAAAACTTACCCGTAAAACGGGGTCTCTATCTTGGACGATTGTCACAGGCAATGCGTGTTGTCTAAACACACAATCTGAGAACAGCGTAGCTGTTCCTTCTCCATCAATGGAGTCCGGCACTGCCGCTAAGTGAGCCATATTGCTCAGCCGGTCAATAAAGACCACAATCCCAGTAAGGCCTGCACTTCATCAGCTTCATCGAATGAGGACGGATTTACCAAGAAGACTTCCGTTTTGGCAAAGCCAACTCGGAGGCCCTCCATGAAGACCGTGACGGTCACTGCCTCAGGCATAGGGTCGATGACCATGACAGCAATGAGAGTTCTCAACGCTTGCAAATATGCCGCAAGCTCACGCTTGCCTTGGCATCACACCAAATATCGCAACCGATTACGGTGTGCCTGGTTTAGCGGTGCATACTGCCGGGTCATCTGAGCTTCAGATTGCCCCATGTTGGAAATGCATCTTGCAGTGATGCACCGCATGTGAATGCCCGTTGCTTGGCTCATTCACCCCAACTTGCCGTGGCAAAGTCCACACGGCACGGTTCATAGGTGATGGCGGCTATAAACATTGCCGACTCAACCTGTCGGAACCAACGCATAAGGTTGTCACCTTCTTTGTCGTCGAGCTTATTGACTTCCATTTGTATGGGTTTTGGTCTGCGGACCACTTCTTGCGCCATAGTCGCCATGGGCGAAGTCGCAGAGGAAGGCATCTGTGCCTTTACATGCTTGACTAGAGCTCTATTATATTCATCAAGCATATGAGTATGATTGTTAGCCTTTTCCTCGCCTTGGACGATGAGGTATTCCACGCCCTTATGGCCAAGATAGGAAGCAGCTTCTGCAACCTTTCTGTGCCTGTGACAGGCCAATCGCGGATATCTCTTCGATGACAATTCTCACACCGAGAAGAAGTCGCATACCCAGGTGCGGATAAGTAGCTTGGCTACAGTAGCTCGCCTACATCTGGTAGACTTAGGTGTAGCCGAGATGCTTTAGCAAAGCTACTTCTGCGGAAGACAAGTCGAGGATCTTTACATCTCAGGGTTAACAACCCTCTCAAAGGCTGCTGTACAAGTTAGTGCCTTTAATTTGCAACAACCTCGTCTCAATGCGATCCGTATTGACGTAAGGACAAATACTCTAGCAACAACTTCTATGCAAAGCAGGTTTGAATCTGATTTATTTAATGTTTATCTTCTAGTACTAAATAAGGAAGCACCTACTCTATACTAAGTGCTAGTCAGTTTTACTGGCTATGTAGTCTATAAATATGTAAACATGTAGTCACTATACTTAACCAAGTGTAATGACCACGTGGCACCTTGTACCTTGGGTACGGTCACAATAACCAACCACTGTACTCAAGGTACGCCCACATCGGCAAGTGTGTAAACATATAAATATACATCTTCGTGTAGGACCGTTACAACCGTCTAGTGTAACGCTGAATAAGGTAAGCAGAGCTCGCACTCCTTTGATAGTACCGCATGTGCGTTTTGCTTATGCGTTTGCTGCTGTCATGTTGAAAAATTCAAACTATTGATAGCATAGATGAGGTTAAGTCAGTAGGCTTTGAGGTAGCATTAGTGCACCACCGCATTCTATGTTACATTTTACACGAAAGTATAAGATACTTCAAGTAATTCAGGGTTATTAGTTTTATAAATCAGGAAGGATATATTTTTATAACTGAAAAATTAAGAAGCAACTGAAAGCCACACAGCTTCAAGACCGTTAAGCAAAAAATAAAGCAAGTGGGAACAGCCCAAATGAACTTCAACAACACCAACAAGTCTTAACATCGCATATCAAAATCTTATACAAAGGAAAATCATGGCTAGCATTGCGCAAGCAATTACTGAAATCGTGAGCCCAAAGCCCACGGCACTCATTCCAGTGGTGAGTAGTCGAACTTGAGACGCAAGGTTGACCAAATATTGCGTTTTCTAACATGTGTGAGGAAATGAAAGTCTATAGGTTGTGAAGAAATTGAGGTGGCAGCTCTTTGCGGTATACTTGCTCGTGGTGGAGTGCGCGTGACAGTCGCAAATGTTGGAGGAGAGCTTCACCATGTTGTAAAGCTGGCCCAGGGCACTGGTGTGCAAGCGGATAAGCCGATCGAGTTTTGCGCTAACGATTCGTACGATGTCATTGCTGTGCCTGGTGGACCGGGTGCAAAGACTTTGGGTTCTTGTCAGATGCTGACGACACTGTTGAAGGAGCAAAAGGGAGCAGGGAAGCTGTACGCTGCAGTCGGCGAAGCCGTTTTGGACGTGCTTTTTCACAACGCGCTCGTTGAAGGTCCCATGGCAAGTGATCCAGTTGGCAAACTGGCTCTGGGTGCTTTGTACTCGAACGACAAAGTGGTGATTGCTGAGAATTGCGTTACAAGCGAAGGCCCTGCTACAGCGATCGCTATGGCATTGGCACTCGTAGAGCTGCTGCGGGGTGAAAAAGTTGCAATGAATATTGCCAAGGATATTGCGTTCAAGCCTATCAAAAAGTGTTAACACGTGAGTGCGAGGTAATGTCAAGGGTGGTACATCTGGAAAATAATTAATGTGGAACAAACTACGTACACGTACCTATATTTGGTTATTGAAAAGCTACGTATGACTAGCACGTGACACGCCTTTAATTTAAAACCAACACAAAGAATGGGAGCGCCAGCTCTGCTTGCAATAACGCATTTGGCTGCTTAACCTGGGACAGTAGCTATGAATTTTAAGGCTAGTCCTTTGAAGCGCTTAATTATTGACTGTGCATGCTTCCGTTAAGTTACCAGCACTTATCACTAGCGATCCCTATGCAACATCAAACCTAAGAAAATAACAATGTGTGGGCCAGATTCACATCGTACACTGACACATGCAATCTCAAATTTTATAAAATTTTGATCTCGCATCGTGAATGCGTGCAAGTCGTCAGAATTCTATCAGATTTTGTTCCGTGCTGTTTGAATCCGTACAATACATGTATTATCTTCTATACTTGTCCACTACAATTCTCGCAGCCTAACCTGGTTCAATCTATATCCCTCACTTTTTCCAAAAAAGCCATTTTGATGTCGAACTGCAGTCGTGTCATTTGTCGTACTATGACAAATACAAGCATGAGTCATCCTGTAGGATTACACAGCAGTGTTGAACACTTAAGTTTAATCATCGTCACAGCTTTGCCTAATATACTTAGCGACACTACGTTCCTACTACATGTCCAGACTGCGAACAATATTTACCATGAAAGCTCATTTCGACTTGCTTGCTGTTCTCCCTCAGAGCAGTGATACTTCCACAAATTCCCCCCTCTCGATCCGGCGTCCGGATCCGTCTTCACAACCAGCTCTCACCCTTCTAGTTACATCATCTTTTGACTTTTTTAAATTGATTTGGTTACTACAACTACCAATTCACCATTGTTTTGTTTGGGGCGTGTAAACTACTCGTGCATTTTGGGATTCAATCATAGCACATACTACCACCATTGAAACGTCTGAGGATATCAAATTTTGTCGTCGCTGACTGGATTTCATCAGTCATTATCATCGTTGTTTCTTACTTGGTGGAATTCTGCGAATTTGCACTGTCTGTTACATCCGGTATGTAAAATACACTCCTGCCACACCACTGTGGTGTGGCTGTACCTTAAGTGGGTGATGTGACCGTACCTGAAGTACAAAGGGTCAGAGAGCCACGTGGTCACTATACTTATTTAAAGTATAGTGACTATGCATGTTTGCCTAATAATGACAGGCTATAGAGCCAGTAATAGTGACTAGCACCAAGTATAGGGTACGTGCTTCTATATTTAGTGCTTGAAGTCAATCATTGGATGTATCGGTTTCAAACCTGCTCTATAAGCATCACTGCTTGAGCTTTCTATTTCTCCTAAGGAATCTGTATCTTAGATACTAGTCTCTTTAAGACACGGTTGTAACAACCAATAGGCACAAGCTTGCGAGCTAGCCTAGGAGGGTTAGCACCCTAAGACGTAGAAGCTCTCTGAGCTTGTCTTCCTCTCCATAAATAGCTTTGCAACAGCAGCTTGGCTAGATCCTCTGCACATAGTCAATAAGTATCGTGGCTACAGTAGCTCGGCTACACCTGGTAGCACTTGAAGTCAATCCCGTACCTGGGTTTGCGACTTCTTCTCGGTGTGAGAATTGTCATCGAAGAGATATCCGCGATTGGCCTGTCACAGGCACAGAAAGGGTTGCAGAAGCTGCTTCCTATCCTTGGCCATAAGGGCGTGGAATACCTCATCGTCCAAGGCGAGGAAAAGGCTAACAATCATACTCATATGCTTGATGAATATAATAGAGCTCTAGTCAAGCATGTAAAGGCACAGATGCCTTCCTCTGCGACTTCGCCCATGGCGACTATGGCGCAAGAAGTGGTCCGCAGACCAAAACCCATACAAATGGAAGTCAATAAGCTCGACTGACAAAGAAGGTGACAACCTTATGCGTTGGTTCCGACAGGTTGAGTCGGCAATGTTTATAGCCGCCATCACCTATGAACCGTGCCGTGTGGGCTTTGCCACGGCAAGTTGGGGTGAATGAGCCAAGCAACGGGCATTCACATGCGGTGCATCACTGCAAGATGCATTTCCAACATGGGGCGATCTGAAGCTCAGACGACCCGGCAGTATGCACCGCTAAACCAGGCACACCGTAATTGGTTGCGATATTTGGCGTGATGCCAAGGCAAGCGTGAGCTTGCGGCATATTTGCAAGCGTTGAGAACTCTCATTGCTGTCATGGTCATAGACCCTATGCCTGAGGCAGTGACCGTCACGGTCTTCATGGAGGGCCTCCGAGTTGGCTTTGCCAAAACGGAAGTCTTCTTGGTAAATCCGTCCTCATTCGAGGAAGCTGTTGGAGTGGCATGGAATGCCGAGACCAACTTTAAGGCCGCTAGGCCTGCCACTTATAACTACTTGTCTGATGGGTCTGTACCCATGGACTGTAGTCAAGTGGAGGATGAAGAAGCTGAGCTTCAAGCTGCGGAGCAGTAATTGGGCGCAGATTTCTGCAAGAGTACAGACCATTTGATGGCAAAATCCCTGCAATAAAGGCATATTTGGTCTCGAAGGGCCGACACCCCATGGGTAAGCCTTCTGGTTTGCCACGGGGAAACGGCGAAACCCAGTGGGCGCGGGGCGCCCTACTGGGGAAGAACTGAGTTCTGTTGAACATATAGGAGGTAGAAGTAGACAGGGCCTAGACTCAAAGAGATCCGAACTCTCAAAAATGAAACGAGAATGCAAGCCAGGCTTGCTAGTCGTCGAAGGGACGATTATCGGCTATGATAAGCCATGCATCATTTTGATCGATTCGGGGGCATCGGGCAATTATGTAACACGTACCACCGTGAAAGGTAGTCAGCAATATGCTGAAGCGCTTGTAGCACGTGAGAGTGGCACAGTCAAAGTTTGCTTAGCGACGGGTACGCGTGTTACATTTCTAAAGTCCCGATGGACTTGTGGTGGAGTGGGTTTTTATAACTGCGTTATGAGACCCCAAGCCAACTCACGGTGCCGGACTGCCGACTGTTGGAGGGGGTACTCCGATGCCGCGTATAGACTTTCTCTTACCTTGTGTACCCGTCGGCTGACGGGATGCACTCTTCGGAGGACTTGGTTGAGATGTGATGTCGGCCTTGAGAGAGGTCGACCTTGGAGTACCTCAAGTGGGTATACTTCACTCGGCAGGCGGGTAGGTGGCCACTCGGTCGACTAGGTCGAGGGTGGGCTTATAATTAAAGTCCTCAGGGGAGATTCTCAACCTTGGCCTTTTCCTTCCTTGATATCTCAGGGCCTTTACTTGCTTCCGGACCACTAGGGTAAGGAGACCGCTTCCGATAGCGGTTTGATTTGTGGGGTGATACCGGACGAACCCACAGGACACATATTTCCTGAAGCTCTATTCGCACTTGGGTCTTACTGTCTTCAACGGGGGGGCCAAAATGTATCCCTTCCCGAAATAAGTGGGTTGATTTAGTAAGTACCTTGGGAGCACGACGGAGGTGTGCTATGTAGATCGAAAATTGAGTAGTGTTTTTTATAGTCCTATCTCTTAACTTCTTTACTATATCTTTACCCCGAGACCTGATTCTTGATTCTGCTAGCCGAGGGTCCACTGATCAAGGGACCAGGGTCTACCAATGATAGACCAGGGTCAACCTCGACAGATCAAGGTTTAACAACGAAAGACTAGGGTCTACTAATGAGGGACCAGGGTCAACATCGAAAGACCAGGGTCTACCAACGAGGGACCAGGGTCAACCTCGAAAATACTGGGGTCCACCTCAAGGAACCGCGGTCCATCGGACTAACCGCGGTTAACTCTTCTAAATGAAGCACGCTTAAACCGTACAATCTCCTCATCCAAAGGTTGTCCCCCGTCCCTTTTTAGAGCCCCGTCTCTCTTTCCCTTACCAACGGTCGCTCCTCCTTGGTGGGTCCCCTTCTTTTTGATTCACCGGTCCTCTGCCCTACCAATTCTTGAAAAGATTCACCACAGCCGTCCTCTGCACTTGATCAACGGTACAGCGGCTTGGACACGCGATTGTCTTCGAATCCTCTCTCCCGTAAGTACTTCTTGTTTGTGTGGGTGTTCGATATACGTTGTCTGACTTGACGCATCTCAGCTGTTCTTTCCTCTGGGGTAGACCAAACGGCCGAGGGGCCGGTCTTGGTCACTCCTGTCCTCGCCATTGACCCAGAGGCCCATGTTCCTTACCAAACACCGATCGAGACTCCTCTCCAGGTGCCCGGGCCAAGGGAGTCTACCGTGGTTTCTTCTGAGGTCGTAGGTGATGAGAGTCCCCCAGACGTGGATGACCCTTAGTCGACCTCTAGCTCCTCTGCTGTGTTGGACCCCGTGAAAACGGCCGCCTATATCTCGCCCGTTGTTCCGTCGAGCGCTCCTCCAGCTACGATGGGCGGTCCTGTAGACATGCCTCAGGTGATCCGCGATCTACAAGACCGTCTAAATGCATATAGCAGAAGGCTTGAGGTGTGCAAAGGTCGACCTACCGCTGTCCTCACCCCCGACGCCTTCTGGATCGCCCGGTGTGAGCTCCTCGAAAGAGAGTTGCAAGACACCCACCGCCTAGTGGTTCTGTTACGCGAAGAGCTCCAGCAAGAGAGATCGCTGGCGGAGCATTTGCGGTGGCAGACGGACTACCGCCAGAGCCGCTACGCTCTTATGGTGGCCGAGTTGGGGCAAGAGGATTGTCACACGTACCTTCCTGGATCTTGCGGCACCTCCCGTGACTGCTCCCGCAGTACCTCCCACCGCGGTGACGGGTGAACGACCTCGGCGTTTCCCGGCCAAGGCGACCGCTAAGGTCCCCAAGGCCGCCAAGTCCAGAACCTTCAGTACTCCCGCCTCGTCGGCACTCAAGTCGGAACCCCCCAGGGTCTACCCTTGGTACCCTCTCCGGACCCTGATGATGACACCGTGAGCGACGAGAGCGATATAGTCAGGGTGACCTTGGCTCGGTCG